CATCAATGTTTTATTAGTTTACAATATTCTTTAATGACAGAATTCCAGGCATTGACAATGCAATTGTTTCCACAACACAAATAACTACTCTACGCCATCCTGACATCTAGAGCTGACCCAGTTTACAGCTGTCGCTGACAGTTGGAGAGATCATCTGCGGCCTGAGTCCATCGACATGTTGCCTGGATGAGTTACCCTCTAGATTCCGGAAGTCTGTGCTGAGAACTTTGTTGTCAACTCCCTCATCTAGTCAACATCTCACTTCAGACTGGAACATTTCCAATGGCCTTAAAAACTGCTGTCATTAGGTCCTTTCTAAAGAAAAGCAGTCTGGATGAAACAGTACTGAACAGCTACTGGCCCTTATCAAACCTGCTATTCTCAGGAAAAGTCTGTCTTTCTCCTGTCTCCTGTCCTGTGTTTGATACTTTCCAGTCAGGCTTTAAGCCCCACCGCAGCTCTGATCAAGGTGACAAAACGATATCTGTCTGAACTCAGATTCAGGCAAAGTCTCGGTCTTAGTTCTGCTGGAACTGAGTTCACGATGTGATTTTACTACAGAAGTTAGAAGACTGGGTGGGAATCTCTAGTATGGTTTTAAACTGGTTCCAATCCTACCTCACGCACAGGTGCTATGTTCAAATTGGGAATTTATGTTTCGGACCAAATGTGTCCACAGGGGTCAACCCTGGGACCCCTTTTGCTAATTCTGTACATGCTTAATTAGGCCAGCTAATACACAGCCATAATTTGTTTTACCAAAACTGTGCAGATTACATTCAGATCTACATGTCACTGACAGCAGAAGAACATGGGCCTGTAGATATATTGTGTCACTGTATTGACTGTATTAAACAGCTAGGTGTATGAATACAGAGCTACTTTCCCCAATTAAACTAATACAAAACAGAAATCTTTCTCTGTTGCCAACAGAAACAAAGAGAAAGTGCCATCACCCACCTGCACACTCTCTCTGGACCTAAAAATTAGGTAAAATATCTTGGCCTAATACTGCACTCAGACCTGAACTTTAATAGCCACGTTAAATCAATAACATCAGCAGCCTTTTAAAATCTCAAAGACATTGCCAGAATCAGAGGAATAGTCTCTAAACCAGACTTAGGAAGACTAATCCATGCGTTTGTCTCTAGCAGGTTAGACTACTGTAACGGCTGTCTCACAGGGCTCTCTAACAAGCTGTAAGACAGCTGCAGAAGATCCAGAATGCTGCTGCTAAAGTTCTGAACAGAACCAGGAAATACAACCATATCAGTGCAGTGCTCAGTTCTCTGCAATGGGTTCCTGTCAGAGAAAATAGTTTAAACAGCTCTGCTTGTGTACAAGTCTCTTCATGGATTAGCACCAAAGTACATCTCTGGCATGTAAGAGACGTGTGAACCAGCGCTGGACTCTTGATAACCTCAGGTAGTGGTATTTTGCTGGTGCCCAGACTCAGGACCAAACAAGGAAAGGGGTACTTTTTTTATTTTATGCTCCTAAAATCTGGGTCACCCGAAGTCAGAAGCGCACTTCTTAAGAGCCCGGAAAATAAATATTTCCCATACAACCAAGCAGGGCTTGAATAGGGAGGGCCAAACCAAAATGATTCAAATGAATACCTGTGAGCATTTTGATTGGTTGGGAGGACAAAAAAGTTATAGGAAGAGACTTTTAGCCTTCTTCCTCAGCTGTGGCTGTATTACTCAATAGGTATTTATTGAGATATCAGCTGGGACCATCTGCCCTGATTTTAAACATGCAGCTCCAAAGCAAAAGATGAGCATGAAAACTTGACGCATTTTGACCAAGTTTCAGCAGCAGTTAGCTGTAATATTATATCATTACTAACAAATCTTAATGTAAGATCTTTACATGGCGTTGTGAGGTCTATGGGTTGGGGTTTATCTACTGTGTCATCATGAGTAATTATTTTGCTATGCCAGTGCACACGTGCAGTAGTCTTTATAAGGTTAATTTATAAGTATGCTTGTTTTTGTCACATCACTGTAGCAGACTGAGCATAGATTTCTGTGAAAATGTAATGACAAAATCCATTTAGGTTGAATGTGAATTAAACCAACACTGGGAAAATTTAAAGAACATTTAAAGAGGAATATGCACCCAAGAGAGATGATGCAAACATACAAGCTAAGAATGCAAAGATTTTCTGTTTTCATTTAGTTCGGAATAGTTATGAACATAATTAGTCACAGCAGCTTTATATACAGCCATAACGCTAACACTATGACTGTCTGTCATGGATGTTACATGGGATATTACACATTTTCATAGCATCTGTTTTCATAAAAAAAACAGCCACATCAACAGAAAAAGCATAATCTCAGTAAATATATGATTTTTTTTTTTATTTCCTGCTGTTTATGGAGTGCTTTCTAAAGATTGTATCCCTGACTCAAATACAACAAAACAACAGTCCAGTACAGTCTAGTTTTTATTATGAGATTCTCTGCAGACATTTGCGTCCTCTTATTCTACTCCTGTTTTGCATAGTACAATGTCCTAAATCTTAGCAACATCATAAACATTTATTATCCTAAGACAGAATGGTTACAAACAGTTTCACTTTGGTGTTGCCGTATGAAAGATGATTTATGTTTGCTTCCTGAGAGGCCTTTACTAATCCAGATCAAACTGCAGAGTAGAGTAGTTTGGATTATAAAAGGACATGGAAACCTTTTAGAAGAAAATGTACTGGATCTTTTCCAGACTGCTCAATGTCTTCCTGTGAGATCATGTCCTTGCTGGCGGACAGAATTCCTCATCCTCTCTATTATGAGTAGAATGTCTTCATCTCTCACTATACTTAAGTGTTATACAATGTCTGGCAAACATGGGAGGAGAAGGGTAGATTTCAGGCTAAAGAACTGTTTACATAACTAATCCGAATCTGCAAATACACCTATTTCCATTTGTTTGATTATTTTTCATACAACTGAGTACAACTATGCCTTTTGGATAGCTATGGCCCCTCCCTGGTGGTGCAGTATGGCTTTGTATGAGGCCATGTGCACACGTGATCTGGATTTATGTATTCGTTCATCTGTGATAAAGGTTTTATTCTTCTATAAATCCTGTGTGAGATTTATGTGTGCGTGTGTGTGTGCTTGCATGTCTGTGGTTGGGCCACACTCTGGTAATCCGGTACGTCAGGGCTTTCCGTGTGTTAAATGCAATACTTTTTTTCTGTATTATCCAAATTAGCAAACAGTAATTGGTAGGTTTGACAGCTGTCAGATTTTGTACTTAGTGGTTGAGAAGGATCACCTTATCTAGATTTGAAACATACACACTAGCTATTTTTTCTGCATACAGACATGCCCATGAAAGTGACAGACAGAGACACATTAAACAGTGAATTTCTTTCTTTTACTATTGACATATTTCAGTTTTGGGGGAAATGTAAGAGAGACAATCCAGAAAGCAGTTTCTTAGAAAAGGTTTTTACAACTGAGTTTGTGTAGCAGTACGCCCTGATCAGGTGGCTGGGTAAGAACATATACACTCCTCTCTGTCTTTCTTACAGGTAATACTATCTGAGCAGCGTTGTAGGTCATATTGAGATACCCTCACTTTGCAAAGCTCTATTTGAGTAAAATTGTTTTCTCTGGACCTGCCAAGGAAAGACTTGTCCTCTTAATGTAAAATGTCTACAACAACATGCATTACGAATTGGGAAGTAATTTTTTATTTTCATTTTAATGTTATAAAAGAATGGGCAGTCTGGTGGTTAGCATCATCGCCTCACAGCAAGAGGGATCTGGGTTTGAGTTCTAGATTTCATATTCTCCCTATGTCTGCATGGGTTCTCTGTGGGTTCTCCGGCTTCCTCCCACAGTCCAAAAACCTACATGTTAGCTTAATTGGCCATGCCAAATAGCCCTTATGAGTGAGTGTGTGTGTATGTGTGGTTGTTTGTCCTTGTGTGTCTCTGTGTGGCCCTGCGATGGAGACTGGCTGACCATTCAGGGTGTACCCCAGCTCTCACCCAGCGGTTACAATGATGGATGGATGGATGGATGGATGGATGGATGGATGGATGGATGGATGGATGGATGGATGGATGGATGTTGTAAAAAAGGAACAGTGTGGACTCATCAATCAGTACTTTTTCAGAGGTCAGTCAAGTAAATTGGAAGTCCAGTAGTAGGTAGAAAACCACAGCTTGAGGATATCTTTGACACAGCTACAGAGGTGTTACAGAAGGTCCTAAGAGGGGATGCAGCAGATAGTGAGAACTGGCCAGTTAGAGAGAGACATATATGGTAGAAAGCTAGAGTTTAGTGGCTTAGGTCAAATGGCAGCAAAGACCGGGAGGCAGTCAATAGAGATTTGTGAGTAATGTTAGGTGGGTTAGGAGAAAATCCATGCTATAGGCTAGAGAAGAAGGATGATATGGTGTATCCTGATGGTGTCGTAATATTTGTAACATAGAAAGAGGGTTGAAAGAGTACACATAGTTAAGTCTAAATTACAGAGAAATTAGTTAGGAAAGAAGACAATAAAGCAATGGAGAATAGAGGAATTAACATTCTGCAGAAGAGTTGAGAAGCAGGCTAGCAGTACTTAGAAAGACAGAATATCCCAGGAAAAAGAGAATGAAGAAAGAATTAGTAAGGACTACTTTTTACAAGGAGCCATTCTAGTTTATGGTTGGTTAATGGTTGTTTGTCCAAGAAAAGGAAGGGCAGCCTAAAGTAGCATTGTCGGTGGTGGAAGAATATCTAAGAAATGCTTATTCAGATCTTTAGCAGTGTAGACTCATTGGCCTAAGATGGATGTTAGACCACCAAGGTGGGAGGAGGTTGAGTAGGTAATCAGGTTTGCTAAGCCTTTGCTGTTCATGGTTGTGCATTAGGGCACAAAAAAAGTTCTTTCACTGGAAATTCAATCTCCTTTAATTAATGTTAATCAATGAGGTACTTTGTGGTAAGTTGTGTTGTACTAATTCCTGTCTATCTCTCTCATCTGTCCACATCTTCAGGGTTTGGTCGCCCTTGGATAACGCAACCAAGTCCTCACTGTTTGTTGGACATCTTCAACTTTGGCAGAGCACCAAAAGCAGCAGATAATGGGAGAACAGCAATAAGAAAATCTTTTTCAAGACTCTCACATGCTCTTGACACAAACTCACAACTGAAATCAAAATGCACTGCTGTTGGGATGGCAAGTCGACGTGAAAAGAACCACCTTGTTTTTTTCTAAACCCTCTTGGGTCTTCTTTTCCACTGACTATCTTCAACGCCTCGTCGTTTCTTCACCACTAGTTACACAAAATGCGTCCCTCCCTTGCTACAGCAGTCCTCCCTCCTAGAACACGTTCCCACAACCCACCCAATCTGGCGGTTGGAGGTCGGGAACACCTGTCAGCCCCTCGAAGGCGCAGCCCTCACTTACGGCACACCCTCAGCCCAGAAAATCTGCGCACGCTGGCAGAGAGGGGTGGGGCAGCTGTTGATGCCACCTCCGTTGTTAGCAGTCCCATCGGGCTTACACGGGCTAACAGCGATACGGACTTGGTAACCTCGCATAGCAGGTCCTCTTTAACAGCATCTACTCTGGAGTACACATTGAACCGAGGCCAGAACCTTGTCATATCCTGGGATATCAAGGAAGAAGTAGATGCGACTGACTGGATTGGGCTGTACCATATTGGTGAGATTTATGACTTTTACATGTAACCAGTACTTTTTAGTGGAGATCCATTAAGACCGAATCTCAAGTCATAGAACAAGAATTCATAAGGAAACTAGTCAAATATTTGACTAGTAGAGTATTTCAGCTTACTAACAAAACAGTGTGTCTATGACTTACTGCAAAAATAAAATGTAGTTTGGAGAATAATCACAGTAATAAATCTGATCTAATTAGATTATAATGTAAATTATTTTATGCTGGACTGCGCTGTGGCGTAGTGGTTTGAACAGTGGCCTCACAACAAAAAAAATGTCCCGGTTTGAATAGTGACTTTGTTGTCTCTTTGTGAAGATGCTATGAGAAATAACAATCTGAGAAATTAGTTTTGGAGCCCTGCTACAGTGGCCAGCTCTGATCTCTTAACATGCTGCAGCACTGTGCAATGCAGAGACACAGTCAACTACAGTGGGTTTGATGCAGGTGATGCAGACTGTAATTACTACGAGTAGTTCAAGCCTTTGTGCAACTTTTCCAAGGAATATGTTGCACCCATGACATGCGGCATTAACTGCTGTTGTTGCAGATTTCCTCTCATTGTTCTGTGTAAATTGTGCACACTTGTAGCCCTTTCGCATAGTTATAAGATTTGACAGAAACTATTTAATAAGTAAAAGTAACCAAAAGTTTTAGCAGAACATTTCCAGGACAAAAACAGGGAGGACTTCTTTTTTTTTTGTAAATGTTTATTCTCTCAGCCACTGAATGCTGGTTGTTGTGGTAGGGGAAGATGATGCTTTCAGTGTCTTGTCATGCATTGAATATTATAAGTTATAAGGTAAGTGCCTATGTTTTCTATGATTAGAAAAATATTAAAGATATCTGTTTGAATATTGCGTCCATAAGATCCCTTTAAAATGATACACTATATAGAAATGTATCATATCATTAAGTGTTTAACTATTTAATTTAACAAAGACTATTCAGAATTAGCTTTTCTTTGTAAAATTGTTGTCTTGGTAAAAAGAAAAACTGAACAAAAAAACACATGACTACAAATACCTGTTCCAGTGAATGTAATTTGAATTCTGATAGGTTTGTTTGTATTTGATTACACTTTTCATTTAATTTGGATACACATTTTATTGATTACAATGTTCTTAATTATTTTCTGCTACATGCTCAAGATTTTTTTTTCGTTGGAAAGTTTCTCACATACAGGATGGACTTGTCTCATCTTTAAAGCAGATCATGGTGTTTTATTATTGGAATGCTGAGAACAGCCAAGCAGAGTCTTCTGCTAGAGCTTCCAACGCTGAGTCAATACTGAAACATTAGCCATTGAGACTTTACACGGGGCAGAAGGCTGACTCAACATGCAAGGGCTCTACCTCAGTATATGGTAACATACACATACCATCGCAAACTGTGTGCTTTTCAGAGGCAAGTGCGGTGGTCTCCAATAATGTATGCAAATCCTGCTTAGAGACAGGAATTTGACAGGGGGTAAATGCATTGACCTGTGCGCTGAAGAAGACTATCAAACTCAAAAGGACAGGCATGTCTGTCCTTGGTGGTGAAAGGTAATACTGGAGGAAGACCGTACACACAGCAGATAATTCAGCAGGAAGAGTCTGTGATTGCTGGTGTGTTTTACCTTTTTGTTTTTCCTAAATCGTCAAATGTGCATGATTTCAAAATAAAATAACGTGGGTGGGGGGATGTTTATAATATAAAATTAAAATGAAAGGTTAAAAAACATTAAAAAATAAAACATAAACATAAAACAGAATAAAACATTGTCACTGCTACAGCCATCATAGTCTTTTCTTTCAACTGTTCTGTGAAGCAGAAGATGAATCAGAGAAGAGAGAAGGGTTACGCTTCGCATCAGGTCACACTGTATTGATTATAAGGTTTCCAGGACTTCACTCTTTGCTCCAGGGTACTGTACCCCAGAGGAGTTACCGCTTTCCTTTGACTTAGCAGATATTCAGTGAAACAAAAGCCTGTCTTATCCTCTACACATCACTTTTAAATACGCACACATATGCAGTACACTGTACTTTAGACTTTCATTAATCTGTTTGCAGATCATCAGAATTTCCCTCCCATTTTTTAACTTTAGAGTTTGTCCTTTTGGTTATAGGCTATGGAAAGGTTACATTTAGATTGGATTTTAACAATTAAAGGCAAATTTCTGTTTTGGTGCGCATAACATCAGACCAAACACACTGAAAGGCCTTTGTCTTAAATCATCATAGCAAAGAGGTGATGTGGTAAACCTTAGCATTAAGAAATCCCTATATTCAATGCAACTATTTCCTTCTTTTTCAGATGAAACCAGCCCTTCCAATGTGTGGGACTGTAAGAACAGAGGAGTAAATGGGACTCAGAAGGGTCAGATTGTTTGGAGGCTGGAACCGGGACCCTATTTTATGGAGCGTAAGTTTCCACATTTGCGCAGTGACTTGTGAATCATAAGTGTAAATTTTTTACCAAACTGAAGTGTTACGGGTGTTTTTTTTAGCAAAAATTGAAAACGATTAGAAGGTTTAACCTAAATGTGCACTGATTAGCCAGTGAAATTCAATTCAATTCAATTCAATTCAATTTTATTTATATAGCGCCACATCACAACAACAGTTGTCTCACAGCGCTTTCCAAACAGAGCAGGTCAGACCCTACTCTGAAGTTAACTACAGAAACCCAACAATTCCCACCATGAGCAAGCACTAGGCGACACAGGCAAGGAAAAACTTCCTTTTAACAGGCAGAAACCTTGAGCAGAACCATGGCTCAGGGTGGGCGGCCATCTGCCTCGGCCGGTTGGGGGTGAGGGGAAAGAGAGAGCAAGAGAGAGAGAGAGGGCGAGAGAAGGACAGAAGGAGCAGAGAGGGGCAGCCAACACAGCAACACGTAGAATAGATTAAAAATGGCAATGATATTAATGCTAATGATGAGCAGGAACATGGGGGCAGCAGGAAACTCCCAACCACAGATCCAGACTCCACAGCTCTAGGAACACCTGCAGGAAGTGATAGGAGGAGACTCCCAACCACAGATCCAGACCCCACAGCTCCAGAGCCAGGAATATCTGCAGAAAGTGTTAGGAAGAGAGAGAAGAGAGAAGGGGGACGAGAAAGCACACGACTACGGGGAAGGGAGAGAGTCCAGTTAGTAACATTGTTAATGGAATGAGGTTGCACCGGGAGGGAGAGAGAGAAAGGAAAGGGGAGCTCGGTGCATCATGATGCATCCCCCGGCAGTCTAGGCCTATAGCAGCACAACCAGGGGTGGACTTACTCTAACTATAAGCTCTATCATAAAGGAAAGTCTTAAGCCTACTCTTAAATATAGAGACGGTGTCTGCTTCCCGGACCCAAACTGGAACCTGGTTCCACAAAAGAGGACTCTGATAGCCGAACGCTCTAGCGCCCATTCTAGTTTTCAAGACTCTAGGAACTGCCAGTAACCCTTCATTCTGGGAGCGCAGTTCTCTGGTAGGGCAGTAAGGTACTAAAAGCTCTTTAAGATAAGATGGGGCCTGACCATGAAGAGCTTTATACGTAAGGAGAAGGATTTTAAATTCTATTCTGGATTTAACAGGAAGCCAGTGCAAAGAAGCCAAGACAGGAGAAATATGATCTCTTTTTCTGGTTCCTGTAAGAACACGTGCTGCAGCATTCTGGATCAGCTGAAGAGTCCTAATGGACTTTTTTGAAGACCCTGATAACAAGGAATTGCAGTAATCCAGCCTAGAAGTAACAAATGCATGGACTAGTTTTTCTGCATCATTTTTACACAGGATGCTCCTAATTTTTTGCAATATTACGAAGGTGAAAGAAGGCGGTTCTTGAAATTTGCTTAATGTGAGAGTTAAACGACATGTCCTGATCGAAGATTTCTCACAGTGGTGCTGGAGGCCAGGGCGATGCCATCCAGGGAAACTATATCTCTAGATAATGCGTCACGAAGGTGTTTAGGCCCTAGAACAATAACTTCAGTTTTAGCTGAGTTTAACATTAGAAAATTGCAGGTCATCCAGGTTTTAACATCCTGAAGGCACATTTGAAGCTTAGCTAGCTGATGAGTTTCATCTGGCTTGATCGATAGGTATAACTGAGTATCATCTGCATAGCAATGAAAGTTGATAGAGTGTTTCCTGATAATATTACCTAAAGGAAGCATATATAAAGTAAAGAGGATTGGTCCGAGAACGGATCCTTGCGGAACTCCGTGGCTAACTCTGGCATGCATGGAGGACTCATCGTTAACATGCACAAACTGAAACCGATCTGATAAATAGGACCTAAACCAACTTAGAACGGCTCCTTTAATTCCGATGAAATGTTCCAGTCTCTGTAGTAGGATCTGATGGTCAATGGTGTCAAAAGCAGCACTAAGATCTAATAAAACCAAGACAGAGACGAGTCCTTTGTCTGATGCCATTAGGAGGTCATTAGTAATTTTCACCAGTGCGGTCTCTGTGCTATGGTGAGCTCTAAATCCTGACTGAAAATCCTCAAACAAGCTATTGCTATGTAGATAGTCACACAGCTGTTTGGCTACTGCTTTCTCCAGGACCTTGGAGATGAATGGAAGGTTGGATATAGGTCTATAGTTGGCTAAACCATCTGGGTCCAGGTTAGGCTTTTTCAAAAGAGGCTTAATTACAGCAACTTTAAAGTACTGTGGCACATAGCCTGTTAATAAGGACAGATTGATCACGTCTAGCAGAGAAGTACCGACTAAGGGTAGGACTTCTTTAAGCAACCTAGTCGGGATGGGATCCAAGAGGCAAGTTGAAGGTTTGGATGAAGAAATGATTGAAGTTAGTTGACAAAGATTGAGGGAAGCAAAACAGTCAAAACATATAACTGGTTCTGGTCCTACAGTTACTGAGTTTAAAGATAAGTCGATGCTAGCTGAGGGCAAGTCTTGGTGGATTTTGTTCCTGATAGCTAGAATTTTATCGTTAAAGAAGCTCATGAAGTCATGGCTAGTGAGAGCTATTGGAATACT